TATATATATATATATATATATATGAAAGCTATGAGTAGAATGAAGTCTGGCAGAAAATCAAGGATTTTTCTTTGAGATGGACAAGTACACCCAGCCAGTGATCACCCTAAGGTAATTAAATCAGTAACTGAACAGGTCTTAATGAAGATGAGCTCATGCGCTTCACTGCCAGGGTGCAGGCACTGTGTCCAGTGGATCTGATGGGTCAGTCTGTTGATCTCAGTGTGCTGGGAGGTTGAGGGATCATAATCTTGTGTCAGCATGGCCAGGAGAGAGCTGTAGGACATGCAGATACCATACACCTCCATGTATCACCTCACCCTAGCCTTGTCTTCCATGGTTAGTTACAAAAGCTTGCAACACAGTGACTCCTTCGTTTTGATCTAGAGCATGGAGACTCGTGGCTGCCATGGTTTAACCCCAGCCAGCAACTAAGGAACACACAGCTACTCGCTCACTGCCCCCTGGCCCCGGCGGGATGAAGAGGAGAAACTTTGGAGTTTACTTAAGAACAGTTTAATAATTAAAATAAAACATAAAACACTAAACATCAAACATAAAATAAAATATAATAGTAATAATATTTTTAATAATAGTAATAATGAAAAGGTTGGCAACAAAGAGAGAGAGAGAAATAAAAATAAAACCCGAGAAAGACAAATGATGCACAATACAATTGCTTACCACCTGTTGACCAACATTCAGTCCAGCCCTGAGCAGTAATTATCTCCTCCTGTCAACTCCACCCAGTTTATGTACTGGACATAGTATTTTATGGTATAGAATATGCCTTTGTCTAGTTGGGCAGCTGCCCTGACTGTGCTCCTTTCTGGCTTCTTGTTTACCTGTTCACTAGAAAAACTTGGGAAACTGGAAAGTCCTTGATTCAGAGTAATTATTTCTCAGCAGCACCTAAAACATCAGTGTGTTATCAACATTATTCTCATACTAAATGCAAACCCTACAGTACTGTACCAGCTACTAGGAAAAAAAACAAACCAAAAGTCTATCTCAGCAGCAGCCAGGATAGCAGAGAGAATTTTTTCCCCATCAGTGACCCTGATGCAGATGAGGATGTATCCAAGTCTACTACCACTTCCTATCAAAATTGTTTAATTAGGTTATTCATTAATGATGAAATTAATGTTTTAATTTCCTAAATAGCTTTGCTAGCTGTTGATTTTCCAGTCCCAAAATGCTGCCAGGGCACTGAGATAGGAGAACTGTGCTTTGGGTCTCTGCATGACTAGTTATTTTCTCCACTTGCTCAACAACATGCTTATACATTAATATTCTCACCAAAAAAAGGACTGAACTTATTATAGTTAATATTGTACTTCCCATTCTTGAAATCTTTTTGCTGCTGAGCTGCCCCACCTGCCTTTGCAGAACTCTTCTCATAGAGCCAGATGTGATGCTCAAAAGGATCCTGTCTTTGTCATCATTGGCAATATATGACTACACAGAAAGTCATGTCTGATGTAACCAACTTTGCAGTCTCATTTTTTGTGGCCCATTGTGTGCAGGAAAAGCTTCTGGCTCAGGAAGTCTGCCTGCATCTGTGCTGCCACCGAAAGCACTGCTGCCCTGCCCACGTATGTGCTTTTTGCTCATTTCATCTTCCAAAAATGGAGACACTGTGATGGCAGGTGTGGTGATAGGTCCAGGGCATTTTATGGGTTTTTTTAAAGTTGTTCAACTTAAACAGTTCAAAGACACAATCACAGCATATGTTGAGTTAGAAGGGACCCAGTCAGGATGATGGATTCAACTTGTGGACTCATAACCTCTCTCACCTATTTCTTGCAGTGAAACCGCGCTGCCAGTTTACAAAGCACCAGAGGATGGGAAAATGGGATGAAGTTGAGCTAGAGGATACTAGTTAACATACCTGTAATATAGATACAGTCATAAACAGGATACCCTATTCTCTGTGTTATTTGCAATTTGTAGTCCAAATTTTGTATGTTGTACCAGTGACATAGTTCTGCACACGTCTTGTATTAATAAATTTAGACAAAAGCTGCATGAGGGACATGTGAATTACAATGTTGGTTTTTATTTGAGAAAATAAATGAATGTACCTGAAAATTCAAGTCTACAGATACAGCAGATGGAGGGGTGAATGGGAGGTAGATTTTTTTCCTCCTATTGAACTGTTGTAACTATTGAACTCTAATAGAAAAGAAAACAGATGAACAAGCACATTTCATAGTCTCAAATATATTTTCTAATCTTGACTCTTCAGTAGGATACAGTTACACTTTCATAAAACTTCTGAGGAGAGGGAGCCAAGAACATGAGCCATAGACTTAAATTTTACCTAGCTCAAAGTTTCAGTACATTTTATTCTGGAAGAATAATCCTTGCAAAAGAAGTGCATTAACAAGGGCAGTTTATTTCCAGATAGAAGTAAACTTGTAGAAATAGATAATTTCAAGTACCCAGGATTAATGGCTCAAATGCCACTGAAGGACATAGCTAAGAGCAGCAAATTCTTGTTACCACAAAGGACTACTTTAAGCAGTAGGTGGTTTTGCTGGTGCACAAGAGATTTAGTCCTAAGTAACAAATGAGATCTGATTTAAGAAGTAATTATAGCTGACTCTCTCTGTCACAGTAGCTGCAAGATAGTGAAGATTAGTGTAGTGATCTTAACTGTAGAATGGGTATCCACAGGCATAAAAGCATGAAATAAAAGTCAAAGTATTTTAAAAAAATAACATGCTTAAAATCAATCTGATAAATATTTGACTACACTATAGTATAATGATTAAATGAACATACTGCGTTCGATAATTTGAGTAATAAATCAGCCTATAAAGAGTTAAAAGCAGCCCCCATGATGCCAGGGATGCATCAAGAACAGTGTCATCTGAATTCTGTACCTGATGAATGTGTCAGAGAGGTTCTGTGAGGAAATGTAAAATTCAAGTGGTCAGAAGAGAATCCAAGAAAAGATAAATATTTGGAATCAAAGACCTGCAGGCATCAAGAAATACATTAAGCTGTCTTGAGAGAATGGATCAAAGTCAGCAAGAGATCTAACCTCTGCAGACATTACTGTTTAAAATGAGCAGACCACTAGGGCATGAATTTCTAAAAGGCAAGTCACTGTCAGAAACTTTCATGGAAATATTTAGTAATTAAAAAATATAGCTAATTTAAGTTGCATCTTTCTGTTTCTTTGAGACTGTAACAAAAATAGCAAGAATGAAAATCCATCAGGATCCACTGTTTTCCTCTTCCACAAAGGAATGGAGGAACTCTGATGAGTATTTTTCTAACCTCTTCTTTGAAAGTTGAATGGCGGAAATTAAACCTCAGCTTTTGGTAACCTATTTCTGTCTGTAGCTATCCTTAGAGTCAGAAGGTTTTCCTATTTTATCTTAAACCTTTCCAGCTGCAATTAAAGCCAGCATGGTTCTATCATGCCTTCAGTGTCATGAAGAACAATCATGAAGTGGGGTCCCTGCTTTTCAGGATTTTCCACATATTGGAAGGTTGAGAAATCACCTCCACACCTGTCATCAGCCTTTAATTTTAGAGCAAATATTTCCTCTCCCTTTTTCAATCATTTTCCATATTTTAAACAATTTTTTTAAAGTACTCTTCTTTATGTGCTATTGTATTTCTCTACCCCAAACTGAGGCTTCTGAAAAGTGAGTTAAGAAAAAGAATTACTAATCCTGCCTTACATATGACATATCTATTAGAATGTCCCAAGATGAGTTTTTCTGTTTTTTCATCAGCATTGATTCTATTCAATATGTGGTTTATTGTTGCAGCCAAGTCTCTTTCTACAGTGCTGTTAGTATTCTCAATTTTGTATTTATGCATTTGATTTTTTTCTAGCCTCAATATAGTACTTGGTTCTTATATTTGTTGAGTTTCATCTTATTGATTACAGACCACTTCTCCCATTTATCAAAGTCATTTTGAATTCTAATCCTTCAGGTTCCTTGCACCCCTTTTCTTTGGCATTCTTTTTGAGTGTGCTCTCCATTCCATCAACTAAGTAATAAGTGAAAATTTTGTATTGGATCAGATTTTGGCCAGGCCTCATCAGAATTCTATATTATATATCCTTTTAATTGAAAACAAAATGTAAATAAGTCTAGGAGTATTTTCTGCAAGTAATTATGCACCTATTG